AGGTTGTGGGCACGGCGAGGCGAGCGCGAGTGGTGGTTGATCTTGATGACTTGACCGTTATTTGTGTTGCTTCCGCATTATTTGAACTCTGGTTGAATTTATGAACTTTGGATATTTTGAACTCTGGTTATTTACGATGATTTGAAACATTATTGGGGAGATGCTCTATGTGACATTGCTATTTCTTTTAACTTGGGATTGAAAACCCGATTTGGGTGTATATGACTTTGGATGAAACCTTTGATAAGTGTTGGATTATGTTTGGTTGTCATTGCTATGATTGTGTATTGTGATATATGCGACGACTGCTAATATGACTTTGGAAATAAATGAGTAACGCCACAAATAATTGAAATGAGTTTTGAGAAATTAAATTGATTTTTCTAAAAAGCCATAGATTTTTGTTAAATCTGTGGGGCGTTACAGTGTGGTAATAGAGAAGGTTTTTGTTTCTGTGAACTCTATTAAATATTTGAATATCATGCATATGATGCGATTATGACCACTCGCTTTCATCATGCCGCGCCATCTCAGATAAAATTACATAAGTGATATCGTATTGCTTCTGATCTGAATTGATGTGTTATGATATTTTGGGGCTTAGGAAATTATCCTTCGTATGTATGGACTTGAACTATGGTGATATAGAGTTAAGTTCTGACTTTAGAGGCTCGTTGGTGTGAGTTTTCGGTATGGTGTTGTCGAGTTAAGCTCAGGCTTTAGCAGTTCTTTCGCTATAAGTTATGCTTAGTGCCTCAAGGTGAGTACCATTCATAAACTATCTAGAAAGAAAAGGGTTTAGGAACCGGGTAAGTCCCTAGTGTGTGGGATTACTCGGAGAACTAGAATCATTGTCGATAGGGCCATCAGATGGCTGTTAATACCCAGTCAATGAGGACCGGGAGTGGCGTTTAAGTACCACGTTCATGTTGCTGATTGACCCCATAAATTACGGAGAGTCTAATGCAATTCACTGTCGCGACTCTCGAGAGTGGTTGAGCCTAGAGGGAGACGATAGATGACAATTCTTCAGCAAAAATTCTCGAATGAAGGAGTCCTACGTTGATCTTAGGACGGATAAGATGATCAGACACCGCATGAATACTCGATACCATGATTGCGAAGCGACACTTCAATCTGAAAGGGGCGAAAAAATTTCTTCCATGAATCGAGTTGAGTGTAATGCCCATGTGTCTGCAATTATGAAGAATCCTTTAAGGAGGGTAGTCGAACCTGATGCAAGCACATCGTGAGGTGCATAGCCTTTTTTATTCTTGAATTTTGTTTATCGTAGTCTTTGAAAACTCTCGTTCTTTTATTTTTCTTCGGAGTTTCGGGAGTAATCCTTTTGTTTTCATGGATTTTTTTGCAATCCTTTGGAAACTCTTGTAGCGCCCCATTCGAATATTGAATTTTATGTGATTATTTGGAATTATTTGGCATTATTTTTAATTTGGATATTTTATCGTGTTTCTCGAATAAGCCATCATATTATATTGTCTCAAAGATGATATAATGCCTCGTTTTATATTATTACGTTAAGTCGTTCGAAATTTCAGGTTAAACCGGGCGAGAAACAATTTTTATCTTTCGGTTATTGACCGAACCGAGCTGAAGTCAAACCGAGGTCAAAACGAACACTTAGAAATAATTTCTAAGTCATTTAGCCCTAGGAAGCATGCCAAGCCCGTGCAGCCCGCGCCTAGCCCGCATGATGAAGATGTGGTCCCCGACCCTTCCAAGCCCGAGCACAGGACGCATTTAAGCCAAGGACGAAGACGCATCAAATGGATGCACCATTAGAGGTTTCGGAACGCACATCGAAGGAACAAAACCTGGTGGGGATGGCTAAGGTATCAGAAGGCTCAAAAAAATAGGTGGTGTGCAAGTCGGGTGCACAACGCACGCCGCCCGCGCACATGGACACGCAGACAGCGCGCAGGCGCCTAGTGGCGCGCAGGGCACGCGCAGACGGG